TGACTTTTTTACCTGACTTAATTTTTTTTTTAACTTCTCTCAGAATTGATTATTGTCTCAGATTTAAGGATCAAGACACTAGTAAAGACCACTGTACTGACAGGAATTATCTGTTTGATCTGTTGCAGGATATGGCTATGAGAATTTTTCTGTAAAGTACTTAAGAAGCTCTGGTAGCATAGTGGTTAGAAATCGGGCTGTGAACCTCAAGGTCAGCAGTTCAAAACTACTGGCTGTTCTGCAGGAGAAAGATGAGGCTTTTTGCTCCTGTAAAGATTTAGAGCCTCAGAAGCCCTGTACAGGGTTGCTATGAGTCAGAACTGACTCCACGGTACATAACCACCACTTAATTATCAGACGTGTTACTTGCATAATTACCTTTTTTTTTGGAAAAGAGTCAGCAAGGCAAATCACCAATAATGACCACAAAAGGGGGGAAAAAAAATGAGTATCCATCAAATGCTCTTTGTTCCTGACACAGAGGCTCAGGAGAAAATCGAGAAAGTAATTAATGCGGCGCGCAGTAAAGGTTGAGATCAGATTGTGGTTTCAGCCATTAAGGAAAGAAAATAAAAATGAGAGGACTGAGAGCTAGTGTTAAAAAATCGGTGAAGGAATGAAAAATTATTCTTTTGGCTTTTCTCACCGGGAGGGTGAGAAACACATTCATTTTGTAACCTGTAGAGTGGTGCTTACCAATGTTTTGGTATTATTATTTGGAATTTGTGACACAGAGTGTGGTGGCTTTGTAGGATAAACACCGAACTGCAAATCACCAGGTTGGTGGTTCAAGTCCACCGGCTGGTCCATGGCAGAAAGGTGAGCTTTCTGCTCCTGTAAAGATTTACAGCCTGGACTCTAGACTCAGGGAAAGAGAAAGACTGTGTGCTGGCAGCCAGGAGGCAAGCTTGCACAATGTGCCCTTTGGTGTTTAAATGATTATATATTTCTGAGTGCTTTTGTGCACATAAAAAAATAAAACAGAGGGAGAAGAAGCAAATACTGCTATTAAATGATGATGCACACAGAGGACAGTAATCATTGCAATGAAACAAAATAGTATAGAATGAGTGCAAAATCAATGTTCTCCAATGTAAAGTATCATTCAATTTACAAAATAGCTTAAAAAAAAAAAATACAGCCTCAGAAATCCTATATAGGGTTGTTATGATGCAGCACCAAGGAGCTCTGGTAGCGTAGTGGTTATGAGTTGGGCTGCTAACATCAAGGTCAACAGTTCGAAACTACCAGTTTCTCCACAGGAGAAACACGAACAGCAGAATGCCTGTTCTGCTCTGCTCTTGTAAAGCTTTACAGCCTTGGAAACCCTGTATTGGGTAGCTATCAGTCGGAACTGACTCCAGGCACACCACCACCGCCACCACCATGAAGCAGCACTGACTCTATGGAGCTTATAAACAACTGTTTGCTAGACTTTTTTTCTCTTTCACCTACTTCATCTCTTCATAATTATTGCTGAAAAAAAGGTTAACTTTAGTTCTGTTTTAAGGATTTGGTGAAAATTCCTTGATAATGCTTCAGGGCATTCTAGGCAACCTGAAGTGTTTCTGTTGTTAAGTGCTGTCCTGTTAGCTCTGATTCACTGTTATTGTTGTTGTTGTTAGGTGCCATCAAGTCGGTACTGACTTATAGCGACCTTACACACAGCAGAATGAAACACTGCCTGATCCTGGGCCAAACTCACTACTGTTGCCACGCTTGAGTCCATCGATGCTGCCACTTGGCCAATCCATCTCATTGGAGGTCTTCCTCTTTTTCTCTGACCGTCCACCTAACCAAACATGATATCCTTCTCCAGTGATTGGTCCTTTCTGACAATATGTCTGATGTATGAGAGGCGAAGTTTGGCCATCTTGGCCTCCAAGGAGCACTCTGGCTGCACTTTTTCCAAAACAGATCTATTGGTTCTTTTGGCAGTCCATGGCACTTTCAATATTCTCCTCCAACACCATAACTCAAAAGCATCAATTCTTCTACGGTCTTCCTTATTCACTGTCTAGTTTTCACATGCATATGAGGTTATTGAACATACCATGGCTTGGGTCAGGCGTACCTTAGTCCTCAAGCTGACATCTTTGTTCTTCACTTTAAAAAGGTCTTGTGCAGCAGATTTGCCTAATGCAATACATCGTTTGATTTCTTGACTGCTGCTTCCACGAGTGTTGATAGTTGATCCAAGAAGAATGAAGTCCTTGACAACTTCAATCTTTTCTTGTTGATAAGAATGTTGCTTATTGGTCCAGTGGTGAGGACTTTTGGAGCAACCCTTTTTCTATAGAGCCAGTTAAAAAACAAAAGCCATTTTCGGTGGCGCTGTTTCTGACTCAAGGTGACTCCGTATCTCAGAGTAGAACAGTTCTCTGTAGGGTTTTTAGCAGTAGATTGCCATGTCTTCCTCTCGAGGCATCGCTGGGTAGACTTAAACTTCCAACCTTTGGGTAGGAGCTATGTCTATGTACATTCACCATTTGCATTGCTCAGGGACTCCTTCTATAGCATCCATTAGATTGCTGAGTTTCTGATAAACTAAGTCTGAGATGCAAGTTCAGAATTAGCATTTCTAACAAGTTCCCCTTCTGTGGATGTCACTGGTCTGCAGATGACACTTTGAGAACCACTGTTGTAAACAAACATTCTCCCGGTCTCCTTCCACTCTGGGACCTGAGCTAAGTGCCTGTGAGGATCTGTGCCTCTTCCTCAGGCCGTGTTAGAATATGCTCCTGGCTGAGGCAGAGAGCTGCTTCACGTATCAAAGTCTTGCTTGTTATTGTGTTTATTCTCGGTTCTTCTATGCTTGAGCCTTATGCAGCTTTTTTGTTGCTATCGCTAGGTGCTGTCAAGTTTGGTTCTGACTTACAGTGACCCCATGTACAACAGAACAAAACACTGCCCGGTCCTGCTTCATCTTCACATGATGTTATGTGTGAGCCCATTGTTGCCACTGTCGTTCCATCTCATTGAGGGTCTTCCTCTTTTCCCATGACCCTCTACTTTACCAAGAATGAGGCCCTTTTCTAGGGACTGGTCTCTCATGGTAACATGTCCCAAACATATGATTAATTCCTTACAATTTGCCTCAACACAGGACCCTCTTCCCTTGTCCCACTCTGATTGAAGTCTTGTCAATCCACCTAGCTTCCAGCCCCATGCTAGCTTGGTCTTTGCTTTTGTTGGTATCCCTGATGGGCAAATCTGCCTGCTTCTAACTCCTGGCTTGATCCTTAAGCCAAAGATGTCTAACCTTCCTTGGTTCATGGTGCCTTTAGCTTCTCAACAACATTTTTACAGCTGTCCCAAGTCAAAGGAAGCTCTGGTAGCGTAGTGGTTATGAATTGGGCTGTGAACTGTGAGGTCAGAAATTCGAAACTACCAGCTGTGTTCCATGGGAGAAAGATGAGGCTTTCTGCTCCTGTAAAGATTTACAGCCTTGGTAACCCTGTACAGGGTGGCCATGAGTCAGTTCCAATTCCACAGCAGATAACCACCACCACCAAGTCAAAGGAAATGCCTAATGGTTCTGTTTACTAATTAGTGTTGCTGCAGGTTGAACTGTGCATTCCCAAATTATGTGTCTGGCCCTTGTGCTTGTGGATATAACCTTGTTTGGAAAGAGGGTTTTCTTTTGTTATGTTAATTTGGTGAGTCCAGTGTGGTGTGGGTCCTAAACCTAATAATTTCGGATTTAAGACCAATGTACATGCAGATACACACAGAAGAAGACAGACGCCATGCAAGGATTGTCTACAAATCAAGGACCACCAAGGAAACTAGGGTTAAAGACAAGAAGGACTCGATGTCGTTGAGATCCTGATTTGGACTTCTCAACTCCAGAACTGTGAGAAAATACATTTCTGTTGTCTCTAGCTACTCACTTGTGGTATTTGTGTTCAGCAGCACTAGGAAATGAACACAGGTTGAAATAACTTAGGAATAATACTCTGTGCAGCATCAACAGATGTTGCTGTGTTTCCCGCAAACGTTTAGAATTTTCATAGGTGTCCTATGTGCCTCAGTGCAGTTTCAGAACTACGGCTCCATACAGTCTTTCATTCCATTGGTCTTTTGCAGTTTCTATCATCCAATGGGACTCACACCTACAGTTTGCAGCTACACATGTCCCCGTACAACATGCCATAAACAAATGCGAATTGATGGCGATATTTATATTTATTTTTGCAATGTCTTGGGATAAAAAACACTTAAACAATGTTGGGTAAGGTGTTATTATTCTCATAAAAACATCTTTCAAAACAAATGCATTTCTGTTTTCCACAAAAGTTAAAATTACATGCTTCAATGGGGTTAATCACTTAGATAACAAGATACCACATCAGCAGAGTTGTAGAGTAAAACCAGATACTGCACTACATCATTAAACCAAACAATTACACTAGAACTAGAAAACTGATTCAGTAGTAAAATATAAAAATCTACAATTATAAATATAAATTTTGTCCATGGAGACACTAGAACATTATTTACAGTAAGTAACAGATTATTCCTACTTTTTAGGTGAATACTGTAGTTGTAAAATGCTGAGTATCATAGAGAACAGACTGTTGTATAAGTTACTATATTAAAAGTTATATTTCTAGAAAACCCAATGATTGCTACAAATACAGCTAAAAATTTGACACCAAAACATGTTTTCCATTGTTGGGAATTACTAAAGTTCCCCTATATAAACCATCATGTAATTCACAATAAAAAGAGAGAAAAAAAAAAAAAAAAATGACCACAATTCCATTCTTAGAAAGACTGCAAAATTCATTCATTTTAGTTCAAACATAATAAGTGAATTACAAGAAGTCTTGCAAAAAGGCACGCATTGTTAATGATGTAAATTTGGCGGCAGAATCCTACATCATGAAAGTTACTGTTAGGTGATAGAAAATAAGCAGGTAACAGAAGAACTGAACCAATTTTCCCATAAGAGGAAAGCAATGCTCAGATGTGGCCTCCTTCCACCCTTTTCTGGGTTAAACTAAAGACTCCAAGCTCTCAGCAATATTTCCATCTGCCAGTGCTGTGCCGTTACTGTCCAGAGAAGTCGATGGGTTCTCTTCCTGCCTTGTGCTCACCAGGCTAAGGACAGCTTTGTAGAGAAATTGATACTGCTCCTAGAGAACAGAGAATGAGGAGTTATAAACGGGAAGCTGAGTGAAGACATAAAGCACTAATGAGGAGGGAGAGCTGTGGACACACTTCCACACTGTTCATGGAAAGGCATGAAAGGGAACTGTAACAAGTGCTCTGTGTACTCTCTACTAAGGAGCCCCAGTAGCACAGTGGATTATGAGCTGGGCTGCTAACCCCAAGGTCAACAGTTTGACTCTACCAGTTGCTTTGTGGGAGAAAGATGAGACTTTCTGCTCCTGTAAAGATTTACAGCCTTGGAAACCTTATACAGGGTTGCTATGAGTCAGAACCAACTCAGTGGCACACAACTACCATCATCACCGCACCACACTTTGTATTATTACATGTTTCAATGAGCCAACGTTCATTGGAAGAGAAGATTTGGCTTCATATACATTCCCAATGATGCAACTGCCATTAAGGCAATTTCAACTCATGTGACAAAGTCCTACTGTCTTTCCAAGCCTGTTTCTACGATCGTAAAATCCTCCACACTATAGAGTTGGGACTTCCTTCTCCAGAAGGACTGTACCCCTTCCTTGTTTGTACATCTCACTATCCATCTGAAGGCACTCAAGAATTAGCCTATGATTAACCTCAGAAATTGAACTGCCTCCTCGATTTTCTTGTAATCTTGATAGAAGCAGATTGCCATCTTCTTCTCCCCTGGAGTCACTGAGTGGGCTCGAACCACCAACCTTTTGGTTATCAGCAGAACACTTAACTGTTTCACCACTTAACTCTTGCAACCTTGCAATAAGGACTCTTGTTCTTAATCCATTTACCATGTGGAATCTGAAGGCGAGGCAACTGGGTATCGATCACCTTGTGTGTCCTATTCGTAGGTCCGTTTTTCATTTGCCTTTCTTCTGTGGTTCTGAAACCCACTGGGGCTGTCTATAGATGGAGATGCCCCCACAAAGGCCTGTACTGCCAGCTCAAGGATGCATGAAGAATCAAGCCTGGCCCAAGATCCACCAATTACCAAGTGATCATTACATTTTACCAGCCTGGCGGGTCCCTAGGCCATCCTCTGAGCAAAGGTGTGAATGTGCCCCACTGTGGTCTCACAGTAGAGGCACAGCAGAAGGAAGCAGGTTTTCATCACAGATGCCAATTTAGGAGGAAGACCGTGAGCCAGCGACTAGCATCCCAGCAGAAAGCATCATCAGGGCTGCAAGGGCACAGCTGCGCCAGTAAGTACACTTGTGAAACCGGAGTTAGAGTTCCTTCTTGAGAAAGGCATTTCCCACGGAACTCCTTCAACTCTTCGGGTCCAAACGAGCCTCTTGGGGGGGCTCCTCTGAAGTGCATTGTGAAGGTCACCTTGACCTCCAGCCTTCTGTCAGATGCAGTTTGCCACTTTGCAGGTGGACTTTGTAAAGCGAGTCTACTTACATACCAGGAGAAAAGGGTGATAAGGACTCTGTTGTGAACTATGGCATCCACACCCACCCAGACTTCTTTCATGAGACACTCGTGTTACTTACGTTCTTTACTGTCTTTCCAACCTCTGTTTCTGCAATAATTGTTATTGTTGTTGTTAGGTGCCATCTACTCGATATCGACTTATAGCGACCCTATGCACAGCAGAACGAAACACTGCCCGGTCCTGGGCCAACCTCATTACTGTTGCCACTCTTGAGTCCATCGATGCTGCCACTTGGCCAATCCATCTCATTGAGGGTCTTCCTCTTTTTCCCTGACCCTCCACCTTACCAAACATGATATCTTTCTCCAGCGACTGGTCCCTCTCCTGACAATATGTCTGAAGTATGACAGATGAAGTTTGGTCATCCTGGCCTCCAAGGAGCACTCTGGCTGCACTTCTTCCAACACGAATCTGTTTGTTCTTTTGGCAGCCCCTGGCACTTTCAATATTCTCCTCCAACACCATTAACTCAAGTGCATCAATTCTTCTATGGTCTTCCCTATTTACTGTCTAGCTTTCGCATCCATATGAGGTTACTGAAAATACCATGGCTTGGGTCAGGTGCATCTTAGTCCTCAAGCTAACATGTTTGCTCTTCAGTACTTTAAAAAGGTCTTGTGCAGCAGATTTGCCAAATGCAATACGTCGTTTGATTTCTTCACTGCTGCTTCCCTGAGTGTAGATAGTTGATCCAAGAAGAATGAAGTCCTTGACAACTTCAGTCTTTTCTCCATTAATAAGAATGTTGTTTATTGGTCCCTGGTGAGGATTTTTGTTTTCTTTACATTGAGATGTAATCCATACAGAAGGCTGTGCTTTTTGATCTTCATAAGTAAATGTTTTAAGTCCTCTTCACTTTCAGCAAGCAAGGTTGTATCATCCGCATATAGCAGGCTGTTAGTGAGTCTTTCTCCAATCCTGACGCCACGTTTTCTTCATAGAACCCAGATTCTCAGGTTATTTGCTCAGCATAGACGTTGAATAAGTATGGTGAAAGAATACAACCCTGTCACACACCTTTCTTAACTTTAAACCATTCAGTGTTCCCATGTTCTGCTTGAACAGCTGCCTCTTGGTCCAGGTACAGACACCTCATGAACACAATTAAGTGTTCCGGAATACTCATACTTAGCAATGTTGTCCATAGCTTGTCATGATCCACACAATCAAATGCCTTTGCGTAGTCAATAAAACATAGGTAAACATCTTTCTGATATTCTCTGCTTTCAGCCAAGATCCATCAGACATCAGCAATGATATCTCTCCATCCATGGCCTTTTCTGAATCCGGCTTGAACCTCTGGAAGTTCTCTGTCAATGTATGCTTGCAGCCATTCCTGTATTACCTTTAGTAAAACTTTACTCGCATGGGATATCAAAGAGAAACCCTCCAAATTCCTGTCAGTTTCGGGACATCCTTCTCCAGAAGGACTGTACCCCTTCCTCGATTGTACATTTCTCTGTTTGAAGGCACTCAAGAATTAGCCTATGATTAACTTCAGAAATTGAATTTGGCTTGAGAATAAAGGGAACTGTTTGAGTCCTGAAATTTTTGAGGTTGGCTGCGTATAGGAGGTCCCAGGATAGGAACATCCCAATTAATGGCAACTTGTACTCACCCTTCATCTAAAAGTGTATAAATTTGTCCTCATTTTGACATGATTGAACAAGTCCCTGTCACTGATGCTGTTAAGTGTCGTTGAGTCAATTCCGCCCCACAGCTACCCCGCATAGAGCTTCCAGGGTTTGAACCGTTGACCTTGCCGCTAGCAGTCCAGTGTCACAACAGGACTCCGAATAAACCCCTTTCATAACAAATTCTTCATCACATTCTCCTTCACTTGCTGCATGTGAAACTTTTAAGTCATTGAAAAGGTTTCCAGTCTTTTCTTGCACGTAAAAAACTAAAAAAACACACTTCTACCAACTCATAGCGACCCTAGAGGATAGAGCTGAGCTGCCCGCTAGGGTCGACACGTCTGTAACTCTTCATGGAAGCAGACTGCCATGGGCACCTCCTGAAAAGCAGCTGGTATGTTCAAGTCACCAACCTTTGGGTTAGCAGTTTTAATCACGTTACCACCAGGACCCCTGTCTTGTAGTACAGAAACAAAAACCAAAGACACTGCCATCAAGTTGTTTCTGACGCATTTGTTGTTGTTAAGTGCCGTCTCGTTGCTTCTAACCCAAAGTGACCTTGAATTGGGTTTCTGAGGAATGGCTGGTGAGCTTCAACCGCCAATCTTGGGGTTCAAACCAACTTTGCTGTCCAGCTCATTAACCCACAGCTCCACACCAGGACTGCTTCTGACCCATAGCAACCTGGTATAGGGTTTCTGAAGCTATAAATATAGGAGCAGAATGCCTCGTTTTCCTCCTGAGGAGCTGGTGGGTTTGAACTGCCAACTTAGTGGTAAGCAGTCCAGTGGTTATTCTTAGGAACCACCAGCGTTCTTTTCTTGCACTAAAATGAGGCTTTCTACTTACCTACGAATTTGATTTAGAGGCACTCTTAGGAACAGATCTCCTTTGTAACCTGGAGACTGTAGGCTTCAAAATGTTCATGGAAAAATTTCACGAATTTTTTCCATGAAGTTTTTGAAGCCCCCTCATATTCTGAACATGTTAGGAAGAACATGAACAGGTTAGTCAAAACATGAACCCTTGGAAAATAACTTTATTTTACTGGGAAAATCAAACGAGTTCTAGCTTTTTCAGTATTACATTTTATATTTGTTGTTCTGCTTCTATGAATTGTGACAATTGAATAACTTGCAATTCAGCTTGAGAACTACATGCCCCTGTTTTTTTTCACCCAGTGCAATCTTTCCTAGTACAAGAGAAAAAAGCAATCTCTAAGAAATATATAGTTCTAACAGTGAAAAGTTCTTTATTACTTACAATGTCGGCAAAGACCCCTGGTCTCATCAAATTGATCATCTTGGCTACCTGGTAAACATCCATGGAATTTTCTTTTTCTAGCTGATGCATAAGTGTTGTCAGGGCACAGAACGTTCCTGCTGTCACTCCTCCGTGCCTTGTAGCAAAGGGAAAGGACAGACATCCCATTCAGCTGCATCAAATGCTCATAGGTGGAGCTCACAGAGCATATAACCTTCACAACTTTGCATTAAAAACACTTTAGATTCTTGGCTTTCACTGTGCATAAAATGATGGTTTGTTCTGAAACATTGCCATGCATTCATCATATTAGCAATGGGATACTTTATAGAAATACAATATTAGCTTACGTATTTGTTATTTTTATACTATGGAAGCATATAAATAAAAATGATCTGACTGAAGTTATATATGCCTTCTATAATGACAAATATATAAAACATATATATGAGGGGACTTCCAAAAGTTCATGGAACATAGTAACTTGAGTGAAGGGAAGGCAATATACAATAAGAGGGAGGTCAGGGAAAAAAATGGAGACAGGGAGAAGTACAAGGGTTAAAAGCAACAGAAATAAATGCTGTAATATATACAATCCTGCAATAATGGTGATCTACAGGTGTGACGCTGTGGGCTAATGTGTCAGACTGCAAAATCATTTGAACTGCAAGGCTGGTGGTTCAAGCTCAACAGCTGCTTCTTGGAAACCCTATACAGGGTTGCTATGGGTTGAAATCGACTTGATGGCACTTAACAACATAACAACAAAAGGGAGATGTATGGATGAATATAGGCTGAGTGGGTGTGGGAGAGAGAAAGGGAGTATATACATGCTTTTATATATATATAATTTTTGACCACAAGGTTGGTTTGAACTGCAAGTTCAGAGGTTCAACTTCACCAGCTGCTCCTCAGAAACTCTATAGAGGGCCGCTATGAGTCAGAACCAACACTATGGCACTTAACAACAACATAAATGTATATGTTTGACATAAGATATTTATACATGTGCATTTACCTTTTCTACCAATATATCCATGAATGTGGTGGAGCACACAGAGAGCTGAATTATGAAAACTTGTTCTTGTTGCTGTTGTTAAGTGCTGTTGAGTCAGTTCCGACTCCTAGAGACCGTGTACAGGGTTTCTGAGGAGCAGGTGGTGGATTTGAACCGCAGACCTGTGGTTAGCAGTCCAGTGCTTATCCCACAGTGCCACACCAGACTTCTGAGATATAACCAAATGCCTCGAGGAAATGAGTCATTGAGCTTGGGAGCTCAGGACCAAGATCTTAAGGGACACCACCATCAACTGGCGTAACATAGTCCACAAAGACCATGTTCTGCATCTTTGGTGAGTAGTGACTGAGGTCTTAAAAGTTCATGGGTATCCATCTAAGGTGCAGCTATTGGTTTCTCCTTGTTCAGAGGAAAGAAGAGTGAAGAAAATTGAAGATACACAGAAACAATTAGTCCAATGGATGAAAGATGGCCTTTGCAAACATCAGTCTCCACAATCCTGAGACCAGAAGAACTAGACGGTGTCTGGTGGCTACCATTACCAGCTGTTCTGAAAGGGATCACATTGGGAGGTCCTGGATAGAGTGGGAGGAAAATGCAAAGCAAAACTCAAAATCATAAAAACAACCAGCCATACTGGTAGGACAGAGACTAGTGGAAGCCCCAAAACTATAGCCCTTGGTCTCCCATCAGGTTTGGAAGCAAACTCACCCTCGTGGCTCAATTTTCAGTAAAAGAATATGGCGCTGTAGGATAGGCACTGGACTGAAAAGTTGGTTTGAATTACAAAGTTGGTGATTCAAACCCACCAGCTGTAGAATTGGAACTGACTCAAGGGCACTTAATAAGGGGAACAATAACACTGGGTAGGTATGCACATCTTAGACTAACCAATCATTTGTGGTCAATAGGTCAGCATTTACCTAAGGACAACGTTCAGAAGTGTTATGAAAAATGGAGGAATGGAAACAGGAAGCACAGAGAGGCACTGGGATGAGCTATGTTACAGTGTGGGAGTTGTAATCAATGAGATGAAACAAAATGTGAATGACTTGTTGAGTGGAAAGCCAATCTGCTCTGTAAACCTTCACCCAATTCACAATAAAAAGGAAAACAAAACGTTTATGGAAAAATGGAATTAAAAGACAATGGAATTTTCCCATAAACTTAAAAAAAAAATCCCTTGGATGTTGTTGTCATTGCTATTAGATGCTGTTAAGTCAGTTCAGACTCGTTGTTGTTAAATGTTGTCAAGTTGGTTCCGACTTGTAGCGACCCTGTAGAGGGCTTCCAAGGAGTGGCTGGTACATTTGAATGACTGACCTTGTGGTCTAGTGCTTATCCTACATTGCCACACTAAGGTGCTGAGGAACCCTGTATAGTTTCCAAGGCTATAGATCTTTATGGGATCGGAAAGCCTCATTATTTGTCCCTCAGAGTGGCTGGTGGGTTTGAACTGCTGATCTTGTGGTTAGCAGTCCAGTGCTTATTCTACAGTACCACACTAGGACTCCAATTACATATATATGGACCAATAAACAACATTCTTATCAATGGAGAAAAGATTGAAGTTGTCAAGGGCTTTATTCTTCTTTGATTAACTCTCAACATTCACGGAAGCAGCAGTGAAGAAATCAAACATATTGCATTAGGCAAATCTGCTGCACAGGACCTTTTTAAAGTGTTGAAGAGCAAAGATGTCAGTTTGAGGACTAAGGTGCGCCTGACCTAAGTCATGGTATTTTCAATAACCTCATATGCATGCGAATCCTGGACAGTGAATAAGGAAGACTGTAGAAGAATTGATGCTTTTGAGTTATGGTGTTGGAGGAGAATATTGAAGGTGCCATGGGCTGCCAAAAGAACCAACAGATCTGTATTGGAAGAAGTGCAGCCAGAGTGCTCCTTAGAGGCCAAGATGGCCAAACTTCATCTGTCATACTTGGGACATATTGTCAGGAGGGACCAGTCGCTGCAGAAGAATATCATGTTTGGTAAAGTGAAGCATAAGAGAAAAAGAGGAAGCCCGCCCCAGTGAGATGGATTGGCAAAGTGGCAGCATCAATAGGCTCAAGCGTGGCAACAATTGTGAGGTTGGCCCAGGACCGAGCAGTGTTTCATTCTGTTGTGCACAGGGTCGCTATGAGTCGGTACCAACTTGATGGCACCTAACAATGACAACATATCTATATATGCATACATATATATATACTACTGCTGTTCTGTGCTGTGGAGTTGGCTCCAACTCATAGGGATCCTACGTAGAGTTTCTGAGGAGCATCTGGGTGGTTAGAAACACCAACCTTGCAGTTAGCAGTCCAATGCTTACTCTACAGTGCCACATGAGGGAGGACCCCTCTGATTAGCACCTTTTAAAAATCAAGTGCTAAACGAACTCATCAAACAAAGTGTCCTCAGGATACAATGCCAGCGCAGATTCTTGTGAGCTCCTACCTTCACTAGGAGCTCCAAGTGAATTGAAAAAGAAAATTCTGGATTCCCCTTACTCATAGCAGTAGCTAATCCACTCAGGAAGAATCCCAAGTGGCTGACAGCATTAGGTTGGTACAAAGACCACAGAGAAATCCATACACCCGGTGAATGCTCAGGCCTGAAAGTACTCGAGTACGGAACTTACTCATCATGGACAATTATGGGTCCATCCCTGTTGGTGGCTTCTTCCTTGATAATACTTAGGAGTTCAAAAGTTTTACTAATGGGGCTGTCAGGATTTGGCCATTTGGGACACTGAAAATGCCTTACTTCAAGTACATAATCATCCTGTAAGAAAGAAAGAAAGAAGTGCTGGTGGTTAGTGAGGGTTTACCATGAGTGGATTAATGTGAAAAATGTGGGATGGCAGTAAGGTGATAAAACCAGATGGCGTGTGAGTGAGCAGCACTATGGAAGCATAACTCCCTTTATGGACGGTTGAAATAACAACGGTGCCACCTTTGCCACATATAGATTTACTCAGAAGCATAAGATAATCTGAGCACTTTCTTTCTTTTTTTATATAGGTAATAAAACATTTTCCATTTTCCAACCATCTTCACAAGTAGAGTTCAGTGAGCTTAAGTATTCCTCATGTTTTTAAATCATCATCATTCCTGAACTTTTCCATTGTTCGTAACAGAAGCTCAGGGTAATCTCTTGTTCAATTCTAAAACCAAGCTTTAGCGTGAGTGTCTTACCAACCCTAGAAAGCCATGGTATATCTGTGATGCTAACTGCAAAGTCACCAAAAGAAATCTTTAGGGTGAAAATTTGTGTCATACTCATATTCAGGGAGTATTCCAATTTCTGGGACTTCCAGGACTGAAAACATTTAGGGGGGCAGACTGCCTCATCTCTCTCCCTCAAAGTGGCTGGTGGGTTTCTACAACTAACCTTGTGGTGAGCAGTTCAACACCTAACCCACATTGCCACCAGGGATGCTTAAAACAACATAACCCAAACCATGAGTTCTGACTCACAGTGAACCGACATGGGATTTCTGAGACTGTAAGTCTCTCATGGAGTGGCTGATGGGTTTGAACCACCAACCTTGTGTTAGCAGCCCAACACCTAACTCACAGTGCTACAAACACCAGCAACATTTAGATTCAATTACAGGAAGAACAGGCTTGTGCAGCTCAGTGCAGAAATGACTGGCCAGGAGGGTGGGGATGTGGGACACATGTTCTAAAGTGTTTTAGGAAAAATTCACAGATGGAAGCAAGCTTGGAACACTAAGGGCACACAGGGATATCAGGAGACTTCCATCCCCTGTCCCTAGTTTTAATGGAAGTCTTTCTCCCAAGGCTACCTAGTTCATCTGTGGGACTGGAATCAATAGGTTCATTGTTTATTTGTTCTTATCAAGTGTGAAAATTGTCTATTATTACATAAGGAGCTTTGGTAGTGTAGTGGTTACAAATAGGGCTGCGAACCTTAAGGTCAGCAGTTCAAAACTTGCAGCTGTTCCGCAGAAAGAAAGATGAAGCTTTCTGCTCCCGTAAAGATTTATAGCCTCGGAAACTCTGTACAGGGGTTGCTATGAGTCGGAACCGACTCCACAGCACATAACCACCACTATACTGTTTATATTATTAAGCTATCTGCATTACCAAGTTTTGATAGATTGGTTGTTTCAATGTCCCACAGAATAGTGAATTGTCTTATGTATCATACATGGTTTACCATTCAAAGTGAAACACTGAAACCATCTGAAATATGAGGTGATTGATTTCAGATTGAGAAGGTACTGTCAGTCTCACATCTGTAAAGCCATTACTAATACCATCTTTCAGTATTGTAGCATAGTTTATTAAGAAATTATTGAAAAAAATTTCAGATGAATTCTTTGTATATAACTAAGAGTTTAGTAAAATAAACAAAACATCCTAGTTCATTGCACTGTATGTTTTAAAGCACTTCTTCACTTACCAATTCATTGTATATTGACAGAGAATAGTAAGGTAGAGTAAGTGGTTTTTTTCCCATTCTGCTTAGGAGAAGAGCTTTCTTACACACATGGATTTATAAACTTTTCTGTGTATATATACTTTCAGCACAGACGGTAAATATACTGTGTATATTTATTATCAGCAACTGTTTAGTAGTTCAAAAAAATTTTTTTTTAATTTCCTGAGTGTGTAGAACTCAGTACCAGTATACTTTAGTGGTGATTAATAGTTCAAATAATTCTATAAGGTTTTGAAAATGAAAGTGGTAAATAAGCTAATATTAATTACATGGATAATCAATCTTAGTTAAAATCAGATTCCTAGAAAATATCCTTAAAGTAGCATATATTTAACACGTGCTTAAAATGAAAAGTTGACCATTCAAACAATGCCCATACCTGTGTCGCTTCTAATATAAAATCTTGAACGATAACTTTTTCCTCATTAGAGAGACATTTATGTTCCTCAGCCATTAGAATGACCTTAAAGCTGTCACAATTTATAGGCTCATCTTTATTCGGCCAATAAACAAATTCATCTTCTGCCTAGAGGGTTAAAAAGAAAAGATTCTGGATTTTAATAAAATGTCTAATCGGTCAGATTGTAAATTAAAAGTTCAATGGTTGTCACTAAAAAATTAACTATAAATTGTCCTCAAATTCCAAAGTTTATTCTTAAACACTTCTGGGGTCTTTAACCACAATGATGTGCAGAATGAAATATTACACTTAAGAATGTTGATTGTTGCTGGATTTTGCCTGGTTAGCTTGTCAATGACAATGCTACGTTTGTTCCTTCTCTAACTGACAATTGAGTACTGAAAACTGAAGTGATTCTAAGAGCTCAGTACTTTTTAGACTCATTTTGAATGACCAGTAAGAAGGAACTTCAAAAAGTTCCTGGCAAAATGGAAAGAACAGATAATGGGATTTTTTTCACGAACTTTCTGAAGACCCCTCGTCTCACTTTATGGATGAGAAACAAATCTGGAGGTTAAATATATATACAAAGCCTAAATGAAATATTAATTTTTGTTTTACCTTTGGGGTTATCCAAACACACATCAAAAGAAAAATGTGATAGAACTGATTTTCTGATACTAAAAAAAGTCTTTCTCATACTAAGAGTTAGCTTTATTCCAAATATGTGCCCCCTCCCCCCTGCCAGGGATCTCCTTACACAGAGGTAATTTTCAAATATCCCTAAGAAATATTACCAAAAAATATGTAAATATAAAAATATTAACTGACTTCATTCATGGTTTCAATGACCGTTTTCTGAGTATTGTCAAAAAATACTCCACTATGCTAATTTTAAACTATTTCATTTACAAATGTCATTCTACAATTTTAGATTTCAGAGGTTATAAGTAACTTAAGCCCAAGAGTAGACAAGTTGTGTCTCTAAAGACATCAGATCTTAGTTGAATAATTAAAAAAAATAAAATAAAATAATGCTTGTTTATAGACTTGACTTCTGGTTACAATTTCTGTTGTTGTTCCTAAGTGCCATCAAGCAACCCTATATAGGGTTTTTGAGGCATGGCCTTGTGGTTAGCAGTCTAGTGCTTATTCTATAATGCCATGCCAAGGCAGTTTCTGTTATAATGTGATGACTCCAGTGTAAGAAGAGTAGGAAGAGAGACCCAGAGGACTCACCATGTTTTGACCATCAGGAAGCATAACCACAACCTGGGCGTTGTGGTCCCATATCATCTTCCAGAAATCTTTGATGGTGTGGAGCAGAGGATGCTGGGTGATGATGAATTCATTGCTCTGATAATAACCCTATAAAACCAAAGAGAAGATCAAACACTTTTTAGCTCCAGCTATCACTTGCTGTGTAAAACGCAAGCATGTCCCCAAAACACTTATGAAAAATGGGTAGGATAAGTGATATTTCATTGAAGGGATTTGCAATCAACAAGATGAAACAAAATGTGTATGAACTGTTGAATGTGAAACTTGATGATCTCCTCTATTAACCTTCATGCAATTCACAATGAAAAGTTAAAATAAATAAACAGATAATGGATCTTACGTTAAAGTATTCTTTTTCATTTCAGACATATATATAAATAACGATGTGGTTAATAGAGCATGTCACTGGGTGCTCTCAATATGCCAGATACAGTGCGGTTTTCCTCTCCTAAAGTCACGTATTCCTCACTAGAGTGCTATGAGATAGGAACTATTGAGTCCCAATTTACAGATGCTGAAACTGAGGCTTAAGAACACTAGTTTTGTGCCCAGGTTTACACAGTTTTTACTCCTAGGGGCAGGCTTATCAAAATGGCTTGTGGCAAGTGTCTCCTACACTACATTAAGTGGAAATCTCCATGAGAGTTGATAGTTCTCATTTCCCACATCCCCTTGGGTTACTTGGTCCCAGTTACAGCGTGCCAAATTTCAGACCTTCTCACAGATTCTAGTGTCCTGGCACCCTGACTGCTCTCCAGGGCAGGAACCAGGGAGGCCCCTTGCACATTTTGCTGCGGAAACCTAGGCGATAAGGCCATCAGGTTACCCCTGGTTTCCATTTGTTATTTACTAAAAACATCACTTTTCTCGCTTCTTCCACTCTGAGGTCTCTCAGATTCCATTTCTAGCCCCTTTGGACTTATCTGAAGTGTGAAATATATTTTGGATATGAATATTTCTCCCTGGTTTTTTTTTCCCCTGAATAAATGGAACAGTGCTTTTGGCATGGGTATTTGGAGTCCTGGTGTGGCATGGCAAGATAATGCACTGGATCAAAAGGTCAGATTGCACCACAAGGTCGGTGGTTTAAACTCAACAGTTGCTCCACAGAAACCCTAAACAGTGTTGCTGTGAGTCAGAACTGACATGACAACACTTAACAACAACATTAGGAGCATTTCTTCTGAAACCAAGCTCTGTAAGTGGCTGGGCTGAAATAATAATGGAGGTTACATACCAGCTATGAAAGCATTCACCCCTTATATGAAACATCTAAATGGCAGAGGGGAAGTATTGTATTCCGAGAAATCCAGTCTCCAAATGAGTTTGGTTTGTTGGGTAAGAACTGTGTGGCAAATTGAAGTGGTAATGTTGGTGAGCCTGGACTTTGCTAAAGGTGCTGGATTGTAGGTCTTGCTCAGGGACTTGGTCTTGGTAGAAGAAAGAAGAGTTTACCTTCTTGGATGGATGAGTGTTTGTATCTAAATGGTGACTTTGGACTCCTGCAAGTACTCATTTGTCTACTTAAGCCCTCTCCAGTCCCAGAACACATAAGCACATCAAAGAATGTTAATGTTCTGTTGTTGTGTGGGCTATGGGCCTGCAAATGTCCAGTCTGTTTCATGCTCACCAATGAGTGCTGCTCAGACCCACTCTGGTGCTTTGGTTCTGGTAACACTGGCTGGCGGGCAGTCTCCCCAATGACGTCTCTGACTTACCATGATATAGGAGGCATTGATGTAGTCTGTACTTTCCCCGCTTAAGGCTGAGATGCCAACCCTGGATCTTTCCACTAAACACAAAACATTCTTTGTAAACAACATCACAGCCCTGTGCCCACCCCCCCCACCCCCCACCATCTACGAATTGCAAAATATAACTGCATTTCTCAAGTTGCATGCTCTTGATCTTTCTACTAAATACACAACATTCCTAGTCATAACCACATTCCAGCACTGTATCCCCATCAACAAACTTCAGAATAGAGCTGCATTTCTCCTGGTGAATGCTTGATCTTGATCTTTATGCTAATTTTTCTATTCATTTTTAAATGAGTTCAAGGCTTTATGAATCCTTATTAGCAATCGTTTTGTTGGGTGCCAGTGAGTCGGAACACTTCCTTGGGCTCTGCCAACCTCACAATTGTTGCTAAGGGTGAGCCGATTGCTGCTGCTACTGCCCTAATCCATTTGTTGGGTCTTCTTCTTTTTCTCTGACCCTCCACTTCATCAGTTATATTTATTATGCATATCAAGTCATAACTAGAAAAGTTTGAGTATAATGCATTTGTCCCAAGATAGAAAATGATTATAAAAAGGAAGCTTTAGACAAGATTCACTATAACCTACCAGGGATGATGGAGGAAGCTCTGTTCTTCTCCCTGTTGCATTGCTTCAGGGCTGTGGAATAGTCACTCTGTTGTATATTTGATTGGCTCAGGAGCTGAAAAAAGGAGTCACATGAAAAATACAAGTTATTTCATAAGTAACACACATACACACACAACTTTGTGCCTGCACAAGCATACACATGACCCACCAAGATACTCAGTAAAAGCTTACTTGACTTATTTTTAAAGAATGCTTTGAACTAAACCTTGTTTTAGTGAACTCCCTGGTGCATCTTCACACCAGAGGAGCTGGAAGAAGCAGAGAACTCTCCGGTTTGACTTTCAGGGTTGAGAGGCTCTTCCTCAGCGTTTCCTCTATAGATGTACACACTCCATTTCCCTCACACAGTAGTTTGGAGGCAAACTACACATTGTTGCTGTTAAGTGCTACTGAGTTGACTCCAACTTATAGTGACCCTGGATAGGGTTTCCAAGGAGCAGTTGGTGGGTTTGAACCACTGACCTTGCAGTTAGCAGTCCGGTAATTATCCTAAAGTGCCCCACCAGGACTCCACATTGTGTACTGCTGTTGTTGTTAAGAGCCATCGAGTCGATTCTGACCCATAGCGACATTGTACATTATGGATATAAAATCAGGGTCAGATTGAATTGTTTAACTGTCTGGACCACATGCAATGCAAAATGAACCAATTCTAGAACATTAAACAAGTGTAGTAAAAGCTAAGAAAAATTTGGATTTTGCCCTTATTAATTAGAAAATCAAGTGTCAAATTCTTTCCAAAACATTTTGTTAACTTACTGGTGTTCTTGCTTATCTGCTGCCCTAAGTGTGTGCTCAGTTAAACTACTGGCTAAGTCAGCATTATGTAAACCTCATAATGGAAATGAAATATGAAGAGAAAAAATAATTGTCTGGATTGTTTAGGGCAACTTTTCATGATCAATTTCTACTTCTAGGGACCAAGAATATATTTAATATGGAATAGACATTTATAAATGATCTCCTTTTCTTCCCAATATACCTTTAAAACTTCATTTTAGAATACATGTTACTCCCTCCCCTTCCCCCCATGTTCATGTGTACATATTTACCTCTGCCATTCAGTATTCCCTCCACATGAAGCCTGGGAGCCCAGACACTTAGTGTTATCCACATCTACTTATTTCTTTCTCTTTATGAGCACACATTTCTCTACCTGGGCTCTTGAATTGTATTCCTTTTTGTATTGTCTCAGGCACTCTCTTCCTTCCAATTATTCCCTCTTTGTCCCCTATTTCAGTTTCTTCCCATTAGTTTTCAAACTCATATGTCTCTCATTAAAACATAAAGAAATCTAACAAACAAACAACCATCTCAGATCCACCTACTCGAACTTGCCTTCCTGCCATCTTTATCATTCTCTTCGTAATCATTTTTTTTTACAGAAAGAATTATAAAGCAATTACATTTCATTTCTAAAATCTATTTTCTCTTTAACTCCACATGGAGTCTGGCTCCAACACTGTGTTGTTGTTGTTGTTGTTAAGTGCCATCGAGTTGGTTCCAACTCACTGCGACGCTGTATAGGATTTCCGAGGAGCAGCTGGTGGGTTTGAACAGTCAACCTTGTGGTTTGAAGTCCAGTGTTGATCTTACAGCAGACCACCAGGCTTCAATGCTGTTCTTCTCTGAGATTGCTTTTACAAAGGCCATCTCTGGCCTTATGACTAAAGCCGATGGATTCCTCCATCCTCAGCGTATTTAATTCTCCATTAGCATTTATCATCCTCATCCATTTCCTTTTTCTTGAAACACTATTTTCCTTTGTATTTATTATCATCCCAAATTTTCTCCTATGTTCTGATAACTCGCGCTTCCCTTTCTTTTGCGGGTTGATTGTTCTTGGGTCAATTATAATCTTTCATAAAGAATCTTTCCCAAGTCTTAATTTAATACATCTCTTTGTGGACATATAACCTGCAGTGTAGTGAATTATTTAATGTCTCCTCTAGTCACTATCTTTGTAACTCCCACCTAACAACATTTTGTCTTGATTTTGGTTAAGACAAGAAAAGAGAAGATGCTGACAGGATTATATGATTCAGTAGTTGAGTGGTTAGTTATGAACAGTTAACGATGATTGTAAGAATTTGGAACTGTAATATGTACAACATGAGTCATTCATTCAGAAGTAGGATCGGGGATCTTACCATCTTCAAAGAAGAGGATCTAGGAGAGTAGCACACCCTTTGGACCCTAAGATCCCTGCACATGGAACCTTCTGAACCCTGGGGCAGAAAGCTGAGGAGTGGCAGAGGAGCAGTAATAGAAGAACCCAGAGCCATATCACCAGACAGTGGGGTGGGTTTTCCAGTCCACGGGGAAGTAAAGCTGGGTGATTTTGGGCAGGAGGCTTACTTGCAGAGTGGGGTGCCTCCAGGCACTTAACTGGGGGAGCTAAGTTTGCTGACCTATGGAGCTAGAGCAGAATGCCTTCAGGCTGAGGCTTATGGTGAAGTGTGTGCCTGTGGGCATTCATCAGCAGCCCTGAAAGAGCTTTGTGACATTGTCCAGCCAGAGAGAGGTTCACCTGCAGACATAGCTGAGGAAAGGCTGTTTTGATTAGAAGAATGTGTCCTGAACATTTCTGACCCTGAATTGTAACCTGTTAACTTCCCTAATGAACCCCACCCCTTGGAGTATTGTCTCTAAGTTCTATGTGGCCATTGCAGTGAATTATCAAACCCAGCAGAGCAGAGAGGGCTCTGGGAGGAATGCTTGGTGAAAGTTTTTGCAAACCCAATTCCATGGCTTCAAGCAACCTTTTCTCAGCTGATTTCTCCAGGAGAGACCTGTCTCTAACTTCAGACTCATTATGCCCACCTGTTAACTATACATTTCTTCTGAAACATTCGCCCAAGAAGTTCAAAACTGTGTTCAGAGGTAATCTCGTGATCTTCTCCAATACCACCCCCTGCATGCATGCGCCTCCTCTTTTTCCCAAATTATTAATCTCAGTGACAGATATCCTCACTCCCCCAGTTGCATACACCAGAAGCTCGAGGCTTATGCTAGCCTCTTCTCTCCTCTCATGGCAAAACCAAAATCTCACTGTCACTGAGTCGGTTCAAATTCACGGTGACCCCATAGGACAGGGTAGAATGACTCTGTAGGGTGTCAGGGACTAGGTATCTTCATAGGAACAGACAACATCATCTTTCTTCCAGCAGCAACTGTTGGATTTGAACCACTGACCTTGAGGGTTAGAATCTCAATGCTTAATCAACCAGAGCTCAATAATTCATCAAGCCCTGTGTTCATCTCTTAAACATCGCTTGTCCAATTCTTCTCTAATGGTATCCTTACCTGTCTGTGCATAGTACCTGGTTCTACCCTTTTGTTAAGTGTTGTTGGGTTGGTTTCATCTCATAGCAACACTGTATAGGGTTTCTGAGGAGTGGCTGCTGAGTTTGAACTGCCGACCTTGCTGTTCAAATCCACCTTTAGTTCCTGTGCTTTATCCCACAGTGCAACACCAGGACTCCTGGTTCTACCCTAAGGTATGGTCATTTATAGACTGGTTTGTATCTGTTTTCTTACTGGTGTCCACCACTAGATTGCAAACATAATGAGAGGAGGGAGTCTAGTGTGCTTTTTTTAAAAAAATTAAATGTTCCAACTATAAAGCCTGGTACCTTGTAGTTATCTAATAAATAAATGATGAATAAATAGGCCTGCAATTTAGGTCAAGGAAAACTTCCTATGGATAAATGTGAATGAATACTTGTTTTAATTGAACACTAGTAATACATATAGGAGCCCTAGTGTGGTGCTTTGGGTTAATGCACTGGACCACAAGGTTGGCTTGAACTGCGCAGTTCAAATTCACCAGCAGCTCCTTGGTAACCTTATGCAGGGTAGTTATGGGTCGGAATTGATGAGACTGCACTTAGCAACAACAACGATATATACTTAAGTTTCTCTTTCTATGATGTTAACTTTTGTTCTTATACAATAAAACCTGCAAAAGCTGTAACCTGTATAGGCAGAAACCTGTCAGAGAAGGAAAACACAACCATTTTCTGCTAAAATGAGCAGCAGCAAAGTGGTTGATACTGCACCCTGTGAAAGGTGGGAAACTCCCGAGAGCCACCAAGCAACGCAGTCCCATTGAGTTCTGTCTCATGCAGGTTTCACTGTAACTGACGTTTCCATTTTAATCCTAAGTTACCTAGTTTTAACCAAGTCATTTTTTGAATGAAATTGTATAGAGAGCAAATCATATTGAAATCAGAAGTCTGTTTAAATGGATACTACTTTCTTCTTTCCTTTTATTTAGGGAAATGTTATCCTAGAAACTTAATGTTCCATTTTCACATTTCTTTTATTATCTACTTTTGAAACTGCACTGTAATTTTTCCCTTTCCCTAAAATGTCCTTTTATAACTTAGAAAGGCTTGGATGACTTCACAATTTGTCTTCTTGGCTGCAGGTTTCTAAGCTCAGCCTTCATCAAATAATATTTCTTGGTCTTTTCCAAAAATTGCAAAAGATGGTGACTAAGGAGGAAGAAAGATGTCAGAGGGCGTTAATGGAGTCCCGGTGTGGTGCTGTTGGATAAGCATTGGACTACTAACTTAACTGCAAGGTTGGTGGTTCAAACCCATCAGCCACTCTCGAAAACCATATTAATGGTTGCTATGAGTCAGAACCAACTTTAGGGCACAGAACACAATTCTGTGGCAGAAGAATGTGTGATCGCCATGTTTGCTAACTCTCCTGAGTTAGTCCAAGGTCTTCTAAAAGTATCCTAGATATTTATTCTTTCCAGCAGTCGTTTTTCCTTTTCAGAAATCCTGTTTCTTCCAGGAATCCTAAGAAAGTGAGAGGCCAAAAAAAGGAGTCCTGTGGAGCAAAATAATATAACCCCATTCCTGTGGAGAGCTACAACTCTGCAAATCCATTAACTCCAGTTTGAGGTCTTGTCACACCTGTATTCTTTGCTGACTGATTTCTAGAGAGTCAGGGTTGCAGGAGGTACAAGATTGCGCAAAGCACACTCTCTCTTGCTCAGTGCCTCGTGACAGGGTGAGTGGGAGAAACCAGGGCTGAAGAAGCTATTGTTCTGATGTGGCCTACTCTAGTCCAGGGGTTTCAAGTGAGACACAGAATTTTCCAAAGAAGAGCACAAACAGTGTGAGTCACAGCACTCATGGTAAGTGGTCTGGTTTTTTCAAAGTAAAAAGAGTACTTATCTAGTCTGTATTGTAAGTCCAGCCTGTTCATTCTGTAAATCTCTGTGCCCTCCCTTCCTGGACCAGGTCTGCATTGATAAAAAGTTAGTCTAGGGTTTCTGAGAACTTCATTTCTTACCACTCAGAATTAAGGTCCTCCTTGAAATCTACCGCATGGCTTTGCTGCCTATTGTAAAGAACAAGGATGGTTCAAATACAAAGCCTTTGCGCCAACAATGCTCTCAACCCATTTACATGACCTTGTAGACTTAGATGAGAAGATGCAGGAACATTCCATTCTGTGCTGACACCCAAGAGGCTCCAAGAGGACTCACCTTGAATTGCTTCTCTAACTTTGTTTTGCCTGTTGGTCCAGGAATGAGAAGAGTATTAACGTAGGCATGGATGTGGCTGTCCGGCACCTCAGTTTCTTTACTCAGTATGGCCTCAACCAATGCATCATGAATGAAGACATACTGTTCCTAGACAAAGCAAGAGTGATAGGGAGCATTACTTGAAGTTTTCCTTATATGTAACTTGGTATAAAAGTCAGACTTTTGATTGTCAGACAACAAAGATTTTACAAAATGGAAGTGGGCAAGAAACTCAAAGACCTTCTTACTGGAGGTGACAGGAAGTCAGATGGAGGAAAGGAGGCAGTCAAAGGGAGCACAACCTCTTCTCATTCCTCAAGTCATTACTTGGTGCATGGTAACATTTGTGGGCATCCTGGTGTGGTGCTATACGATCAGCACTGGACTGCTAACCACAAGGTCTGCAGTTCAAACCCACCAGTTACTCTACAGAAACCCTATACAGGGTCACTATGAGCCCAAACTTACTTGACAGCACTTAACAACAACAACTAACCTAAAAGTTGTTAGTTCGAACCCACCCAGCAGCACCACACTCCAGAAGGAAGACTTGGAGTCCATAAAAATTGGCTCAGCTCTACTCTTTAACATATGGGATCACCGTGAGTCACAGCTCGATGGTAGTGGGGACAGAGACAGTCTGGAATAGTCCTTGTGTGCTGCCTATGTCTAAGAATCTTCCCTGGTCTTAACTGATTAGAAAGTAATTCCGCAATGACAAGAAATTGTGTTGTCTTCTTTTGAAGTCCACTAAGGACCAAGCAGAGCTTGATACAAAGCACATTTAATAAAGATTCAATGTTTGACTAAAACCACCTTGGGTAGATTCAGAATGAATATTTTTTAGCTCTATCTGCAATTCCACTAGCGGATGAAGGAAAACCAGAGACATTCATATTATAAAGCTGACTCCATGCTTGAGATTCGTATCTGATTGAACAAGGCTTGGACAAGCTGACAAGAAGTAATCACACCACATGCCTTTAAGGTGCCATCCAACCATCGATAGTTTTCCAGCTTAATTCATTTTCTTATTTAGAAAGAAGTTAAAAAGAAACTTAGATTTGTAGATTATCTTCTGTCTATCCTTATGGGATCAGAAAGCCTTATCTTTCTCTCACGGAGCAACTGGTAGATTCGAACTTCTGATCTTGTGGTTAGAAGCTCAGCTCGTAACCTACTACACTAGTAGGGCTCCTTATATGGGCCTCTAAGGGGATTTATGGAGTCCTGGTGTGGCGCTGTGGCTTAATGCAACAGACTGCAAAGCCATTTGAACTGAAAGGCCGGCGGTTCAAGCTCACTAGCTGCTATTAGGAAACCCTATACAGAGTCGCTATGGGTCAGAACTGACTCTATGGCACTTAACAACAACAACAAGGGAATTTAACTTGAGCACAATTCATGCCTTTTAAAATAAGAAAATGAATCCATTCATTCATTACATATATGAAACATTGAAATGTTTTCCTGGTAGTGATGGTTCACTCCTTTTATGGGAAGGCCTTCTCTGTGGCCTGTGTAATTTTAAAAAAACATTCCCAATTTGGTCATAAAACACACAAAATGTAACTGGTTCATCCATGATTTATTTGCACATTCCAAAAACCAAGCCCACTGCCAATGACTTGAGTGAAACTCATATGGCAGAGCAGAAATGCCGAACATGGTTTCTAAAACTGTAATCTTTACAGTACACTGCCATATCTTTCTCCTGTAAAATTGGATGATCGATACAAACCAGTGACTCTTCAATTAGCAACCACGTGCTTAACAATTGCTCTACCAGAACTGGTAATAAAACCCTGGCCTATCCAGCTTTAGTGTTCTAGCAACAATCCCAAAACTTAGATAAAGAAAGCTCTTCTCCTTTTTTTTTTTTTTAAATCCTACCTCAGTTTGCACCAAGTAATTCCTTTGTGAACGAATGTGCTTTAAGAAGCCAAATATATTGACTGTTCCTTCGTGATGAATTTGTTGCAACATACTGTCCAACACAATGTATGTGCCTGTTCTTCCAACTCCAGCACTGAGGAGATCACAAAGAGAGAAATGGTTCAATGTCATGCATTAAATACATAAGAACGTAGGTCACCACTAGCTGTCTTGCTAATTAAAATAGCTTTCTTCCCTAAACAAATAAGTCACACCATAAATAATTTAAGGATCTAAAATTGCAAACAGCTCAGCAGGTAAGCATACTGCTTCAAACAACAACTCAAAAGTTTTCTTTCTTTTTTTTTTAACTTTTTGCTCTGGGTTAAGCTGAAAAGCAACCTATTCTTTTTATTTATTTTTCATTATATGTCACACAATGAAAATATTATCTATCAGAGCATAGCAAACAGGCATTTAATCGGAGAAGAATAGAAACATCAGCTTCGCCAAACTCTGAAAAGGAAAGGTCCCTAGGTTTGCATTGCCAGGTAGACATGGTTGTAAAGTTTTCTGCATTAATGGGAAAAAGAATGTGATCAGGCTTTCAGCTGAGAATATCATTTTGGTGAGATTGCAAGGAATAAAGCATAACTTCAGACATTTCTAAAGGGCCATTATCTATTGACAGAATCCACAGACAGGGCTGCTTTTCAAATGCTTCAACAAGTAGGAAGTACTAGAGTGCAAAATTAGCACCTGCTCTGCACAATAGCCGATTCTTCTCCATTTGCTATGAAACAATTCCTGACCTTCAGAGCTATTTTTCTCTGCATCTTCCAGTTTTCCTCAGCCTATTGTCAGGCTAGCAGATTAAAACCCTCTCAAGATAGATCTCTCAAACTTTGTGTCTGAGGACAACTCCTGAGGTAAGTCATCAGAATGTGCTAGACAAGCTGTATATTGAAGGAAAACACTTGCTTCAGTCAAAAAACACAGACATTACTTTGACAAACATACTGCAGATAGAAATGAATTTAACTTTGACAGGTGGAAAGCTTGGCACATGGTCAACACTCCACAAATGTGAACCACTGTTATTATTTTAACTGAAAAATATTAGAAACATGAAACATATTATTTTATTCTCTTTTGAAATCAGTATCTGTATTCATCAATCAAATCTTGGAAATTAAAGTACTTGAGCAACAATGAATTGATAATTCAGTCCTTATTTTAGAAAGAACTGAGGAAAATGAAGGAAAAGGATTCTGGTCCTTAGATGTTTAAAAACAACATAAAGCCATTTTGCCAAATTTCCCACACTCTATGTGCTTCAATCTCTCAAAGGTGAATCAGGCCTAATAACTCTACAATATGTTAGTTACTCCTAGGCACAGGGTTATGTCTGTCTCAAGCATTGTTATGCCATAGTATTATATGTTACTATAAATTCTTATTTAATGACAAAACATTGTTCTACCTGCCTCACTTAGTAAGTTGAAATTCAATACAATAAAATAGGTTAATAACTCTGGTAGCGTAGTGGTTATGAACCGGGCTGTGAACCTCAAGGTTAGCAGTTCGAAACTACCAGCTGTTCCGCGGGAGAAAGATGAGGCTTTCTGCTCCCATAAAGAGTTACAGCCTTGGAAACCCTGTACAGGGTCGCTATGAGTTGGAACCGACTCCACGGCACACAACAACAACAAGTATGTTAAAAATATAAGGTTCCATGACATATTGATCAATTGAATTCTGAGTCTGGCATCTCCTAGTGATTAAAACCCAAAAAACCACACCTGTAGTTGAGTGAATTCTGGGTCAGTGTGAATAGCCCCATAGGGTTTCCAAGGCTGCAGTCTTTACAGAATCAGACAAACCTGCGTCTTTCTCCGGAGGAGCTGCTGGTGGATTCAAACCACCAACCTTTCTATCGGCAGTTCAGCACTTCACCACTGTACCACCAGGGCTCATTTCTTGGCAATTTGAAGAAATAAACAAATCACTTGCCATTGAGTTCCTTTTGACTCCTAGTGACCCTGTCTGTGTAGAGTTTCCAAAGCCATGAATCTTTACATGAGCAGAAAGCTTCACCTTTCTCCCTCAGAATGGCTGGTGGGTTTGAACTGCTGATCTTGCATTAGGAGTGCATTGCTTATCCTATACACCAGGACCCCATGAAATTCAACATATAATTTCATCTTCCTCATGTCATGAAATCATTCCCATTTTGGCAAAAATGTCATTTCATTGATTTCTTTTCTGCTGGTATCCATCATTATAATGGGTTAGAAAGGAGTCTCAGACTTACCTGCAGTGAACAACCACCGGCCCCACTGCATGGCGCTTGGCGTAGGATGCCTTCCGCACGAAGGTCAGCACGGGTAGAGAGTACTCCGGCACTCCCATGTCAGGCCACTGCGTGTAGTGATACTGTGTTATCACCCGCCCGCTGGACTTTCCTTTCTGAGACCCCTGGAAGAGCATAAATAGCTAATAACAGACATACACAGGTTTGGGAAACATCACTTTAGGACTCACAGCCTGACAGAGGGGGTTCAGAATGAAGCAAAAGGAGCACATGGCCATGGTTCCATTTTTGTTGTTTTCTTTCTCTTATTTCAGTCTTCACTCCTTTTATGAGGATGTTGGGGTTGTGTCAGGGCTGGTCCATGCAATCACAATGTAGAACATGGGGCAGGATTTGCTTTTGGTATACCTTGTCTAATGCACCCATAGTCACCACGGATAATCTGGCACCAAAGACAAGGCTGGCATGTAGAGACTCAAGAAATCGTTGGGATTGAAGTGTAGCTGGTTTAAGAACTTTTAATGTTTTTCATTAAAAAACAGGGTCGTTATGAGTTGGAAGTGATGTATGTAAACTAATCACGGTTATATAAAATGGATGCTAGAATCATGACAATTCATTGTAGAGGTCAATGGCTGAGTCCACTATTTATTGACTTACCTTTTTTATTTTTGTGTTCCTTAGAGTAAAGTTCCTCACAGTATAATAGGCAAGCACTTGGACACTCTTCTGAGTGACCAGAAAGTTTCCATATTCTTCACTTCCATCGACAGGCCAGTACTGGTCACATTTTCTCTGCAAAAGAACAAGTGAAGGATCCATTGCCTTATTTCAAATGCATAACGTAACATAAACTTCATCACTGAGATCAGGAAAGGCTTGAGGCAGGGACAAGCATGGGTTTCCTCACTTTTCTAAATACTTACTTCTCTTACTAAATGATTACAAATTAGTTGTAGATGTGACCAGGAGATACAATCACAGACTGAAAGAGATTTGGGATGATCCAGTTTCAGAAAAGAAAATTGAGGTCAAGCATATTAAGTCACTAATTAAAGGAAAAGCCAGGGCTAGAATCCAGGCCCTGTAAACTCAAACCTCTTTTACTGTCTACACCACATTTTAATGAGTTGCATTTCTTTTTTTCACAGTTTGAAGCATCCATTACAAAAAACAGTAGGCGTGGAGCTGTAGGATAAGCCCTAGACTGGGAAGCACAAGGTCAGTGGTTCAAACCCACCAGCTGCTCCTTGGAAACCCTGTACAGGGTCGATATGAATTGGAACCAACTTGACAGCACTTAACAACAACAACAACAACAACAATGTTAACAATTTCCCTTTAGATGTCAAATTTAAGTATGAAAGTAATACCCATCACCATTCTCCCAATACCAATTCTGTCACAAGCAATTTAAAGGCTCTCTAATTTCTGTCCTGGGGTGGTGCTACAGCATCAGCACTGGACTGCAAACTGCAAGGTCGGCAGTTCAAACCCACCAGTCGCTCCTTGGAAAGCCTATACAGGGTCACTGTGAGTTAGAAACGATTTAATGGCACTTAACAACAAAAACAGTGCCATTTGGGGATTATATTTCTGGTTACGTACATACCCTTCCTTTCTCCACAAGGTTTGTTATCATGACAATGACTTCCACGTTATGCTCCCATATCATTCTCCAGAAATCTTCAGCTGTGGATTTCAGTGGGCCTTGGGCAGCAATGTAAGCTTTTGGTCTGTTGTACCCCTGAAATCACAGATGCCAAGTGCTTCTTATTGTCACATTCATATGTCATTTGAATGGCCTAATATTTGAGTTTTTTTTTAATTTTTTTTTTAATCAGCCTACTTTTTTTTTTTTTTATAAAAGAGAAGATCTGGCAAAGCTAAGGATAGCTCCAGCAAAGATAAGTATTTATTCTTCTGTAACTATGATTTTTGTTAAATAATAACAAAAGAAAAAAGAGTTATTTACTTTGATACAACCACATTTAATCCAAGTTTATTTGTGAAGCTTAATATCAGGTGTGCTGTTTTGAAAGCCCACCGCTGGTGTGGCCCCCTTGGTGATACTGAGCAGGTCTAATCATTGATAGTTATCTGTTGCTGAGCATCGCTTTTTGGTCATAATGCTTTACAATTATTAGCCTTAATCCTTAATGTATAAAATAAACAGAGGCATCATCCCAGAGTTGGAGAAGAGGAAACTGTAGTTCAGACGAGTTAATTGGTCCCACAATTAGCTGGTGGAGAGCTAGGACTCAAAACCAGTTGTAACTCCAAAGTCCATGTTCTTTTTGGCATACATGTGGCCTAGTCTGGACTCCTGGTGTGGAGCTGTAGGATCAGCACTTGGCTGTGAACCACAAGGTTGGCAGTTCAAATTTACCAGCTGCTCCTTGGAAACCCTATTCAAAGTCGCTATGAATCAGAACCAACTCGATGGCACTTAACAACAACAGCAATGGTCTAGTCTGGAACTTGATGCTTAGAGTTCAGTAGCCCGTACAGCATACCTGAAGGCAAGTAGACTGAGAAGTCAGGGTCAGGGAAAGACTTGAGTGCTGCTGGCCTTCAGTTGCTCACGATGTTTAAAACTCAGTGTTAGTGAGTGGTCTACTGTCACTGAAGATCTCTGATAAATTTCACAAAGCCAGACACCTTGAGGGATACCCAAGACTATAAAGGCTAACAACTGGTTTTGTTTGCCTTTTAACCAGTCCTGGTGTGGTGCTGTGGGCTAATGCATTCAATGGCAAAGTCGTTTGAACTGTGAGGTCAGTGGTTCAAGCTCATCAGCTGCTCCTTGGAAACCCTATACAGGGTTGCTATGGATTGGA